AAGGCTTTCTGACAATCCAAAAATATGCAGTCTGCCCACCCTTCTCTTTCTTGCCTTATTTTTGTTGCCTGGTCGTAGAATTCAAGTAACCCTGTGAGGCAGGACCTGCCATCCCTGAACCCATGTTGATGCTGTGTTACAAAGTTCCTTCGCTCCAGATGCTCCACTAGTTTTTTTCGCACAATCTTCTCCATCAGCTTGCATGGTATGCAGGTTAGGGACACTGGCCTGTAGTTCAGTGCCTCCTGTCTATCCCCTTTCTTGTATATCGGGACTACGTTAGCTGCTTTCCAAGTATCTGGCAGTTCCCCTGTTGCCAGTGATTTGTTATACACTATGGAGAGTGGTAGGCTCAGTTCTCTTGCTCCTTCCTTTAGAACCCAAGGGGAGATTCCATCTGGGCCTATAGCCTTCGTCACGTCCAACTCTAGTAAACACTTCCTTACTTCCCCACTGGTAATCTCAAACTCTTCCAGTGGTTCCTGGTTAGCTATTCCCTCACTTACCTCTGGAATTTCTCCTTGTTCTAAGGTGAAGACCTCCTGGAATTTCTTATTCAATTCCTCACACACTTCCTTGTCATTTGTAGTGAATCCTTCCGCCCCTATCCTTAATCTCATAACCTGTTCCTTTACTGTTGTTTTTCTCCTAATGTGGCTATGCAACAATTTAGGCTGAGTCTTTGCCTTGCTTGCGATGTCATTTTCGTATTGTCTTTCTGCCTCTCTTCTCATCCTGACATATTCATTCCTGGCATTCTGTGTGTGTGTGTGTGTGTGTGTGTGTGTGTGTGTGTGTGTGTGTGTGTGTGTGTGTGTGTGTGTGTGTGTGTGTGCTTCACTCTACATCTTAGACCTACTGTGTTGTGTATGATCCTCTGTCCTGTGTGGCAGTACCTACGTGCAGCACCTCACTGTAATAAGAACTAATTAAATTACTCAGATGAGGCAAAATTGTATATTATGTCAGTAGAGTTGTTAATCCATTAAAGATAATTTCGAGCATACCCCCTGGCATTAGTGCTGCGAGTATACCCCCTGACATTAGTGGGGCTCGACGTCTGCAGGTGTGTGTATCCCCAGGTGTCCTCAGTGACAGGTATGTGTGGCACACCTGTAAATTACCTCCAATTAAGATGCATCTTAACCATTACGCGTCTTCATAAATACCCATAATTCCAGCATCACAGACAAGGGAATATACTCAACAATGTATTCTGCTTCTCGGTGTATATATATACACAGACTTTACTGTAGTCATGGACTATTTCAGGGCCAATATGCCCAAGTCCAACACTAAACCCGCCCAGTCACAAGACCGTCCATGTTAATATTTCTCATATAGAGTAATATACGACATTATCTCTAACATAAATACTTACATTTCTATACTAAATGCGTCGTACGTAGTCTAGGTTAGACTAGGATAAATGGGTTGGTTAGGGCCTATAATATGTATTGACTGTCAACCTATTCAAGCCAGGATTTCACTCGATCTTTCTCATCCTTGCTCCTTCACTCTCGTCTCATACTCTCGCACGCTTTCACAGTCTCACACTCACTATTTCACTCTCGCACCCTCTCTCTTGCACTATCCCATAGGCTGAACTTACCTGAAGGTACATATATCAAACTATAGGAACGGGCACTAATGTAAATCTGGAACTATCCAAAAATAATACTATATATAGCACATGTACAAGAGTACACTCCAGCCTGTGGCAGTGTACTCCCTGGCAGGCTGTGGAAGAGGGTTAGTACATAGCATCATAAGGATAGGTGCACCTGCAACACACCTGTTGGCCTGACAGCTGAGGGGACAGCGCTTCAGATTCGTAGTACTGAGGTTCCGGCTTCGATCCAGGTGGAGGCGGAAACAAATGGGCAGAGTTTCTTTCACCCTGATGCCCCTGTTAGCTAGCAGTAAATGGCTACCTGGGAGTTAGACAGATGCTACGGGCTGCTTCCTGGGGATGTGTAACAAAAAGGAGGCCTGGTCAAGGACCGGGCCGCGGGGACACTAAGCCATGAAATCATCTCAAAATAACCTCAAGATGGCCCATACGAGGCAGGTCCTAAGTGTATATCTCCCCTAACTCATTCATATATATGTCTAACCGTCGCTTTAAACAATCCAAAGATCTATGTCTAATATGCTACTTATTTTTGTTTTTTCATAAATCTACACCCCGGTTTCCAACCCAGTATTTACCCAGGTTTTTCCTGAATCTAAACTTTTAACGTTTATATCCATTGTCTCGAGTTCTAATGTGTGTTGATAAATTAAACATTGATATACTCTTTATTATACCCCTGTAAATATTATACACATTTACATAAATATGATAAAATAGACAAGAGGCCCCAGAACACAGCAGTGAATGAGGCAGAGCAAAAGGAAAAGGTGAAAGAAAAGTGGGCGGCAATTAGCAGAACACGGCGAGAGGGGAATGTTATGAAAGGAGGGGAGAGCTGAGAGTTGGCGAGGGGCGGGCGGGGAGGTGCCGACGGGAGACAGGGGCGAGCGGGGAGGTGCCGAGGGGAGACAGGGGCGTGCGGGGAGGTGCCGAGGGGAGACTGGGGCGTGCGGGGAGGTGCCGAGGGGAGACTGGGGCGTGCGGGGAGGTGCCGAGGGGAGACAGGGGCGGGCGAAGAGGTGCCGAGGAGGAGACAGGGGCGGGCGGGGAGGTGCCGAGGGGAGACAGGGGCGAGCGGGGAGGTGCCGAAAGGAGACAGGGGCGGGCGGGGAGGTACCGAGGGGAGACAGGGGCGAGCGGGGAGGTGCCGAAAGGAGACAGGGGCGGGCGGGGAGGTACCGAGGGGAGACAGGGGCGGGCGGGGAGGTGCCGAGGGGAGACAGGGGCGGGCGGGGAGGTGCCGAGGGGAGACAGGGGCGGGCGGGGAGGTGCCGAGGGGAGACAGGGGCGGGCGGGGAGGTGCCGAGGGGAGACAGGGGCGGGCGGGGAGGTGCCGAGGGGAGACAGGGGCGAGCGGGGAGGTGCCGAGGGGAGACAGGGGCGGGCGGGGAGGTGCCGAGGGGAGACAGGGGCGGGCGGGGAGGTGCCGAGGGGAGACAGGGGCGGGCGGGGAGGTGCCAAGGGGAGACGGGCAGGCGGGGAGGTGCCGAGGGGAGACAGGGGCGGGCGGGGAGGTGCCGAGGGGAGACAGTGGCGGGCGGGGAGATGCCGAGGGGAGACAGGGGCGGGCGGGGAGGTGCCGAGGGGAGACAGGGGCGGGCGGGGAGGTGCCGAGGGGAGACAGGGGCGGGCGGGGAGGTGCCAAGGGGAGACGGGCAGGCGGGGAGGTGCCGAGGGGCCAGACCAGACCCCACTACACCTAACACTGTACATAACGACTCATCAAATTACAGTTAAGGGAACCAACATTCTCCACAGGAAGCCATCAAATCTGAAATTACAATCCCCTTAATTAACAAGTCATTGAAGCGTGTATCAGTAGAGTCCCCCCTCGCCAACCACCCCCCTCACCCCCCATCTCCCCATCCACACCCCCTTCCCCTTCACCCCTCCCCCTCCCACCAATCAGACCCCAGGAACTCTTGAAGATTGTCAGGAAGTATGCCAGTAAGTGGAGAGAGACAACGCAAGATAATGCAGACACCGCCTCGCTTAGTGTTGATCAAGTCCAAACTTAAGAAGGGTCACCAGTCTGGACTTTATCGACACGCTGATCCTCTTCATTATACACTCAAAGATATTTAATCTCCTGGACAGAGATACGAGCTAATGCTCACAAGGATATGAACTATTACTCACAGGGATACCAGCTGTTGCTCGTATAACCACTTGAGTGTAACCACTTGAGTGTAACCACTTGAGTGTAATCACTTGAGTGTAACCACTTGAGTGTAACCACTTGAGTGTAACCACTTGAGTGACCGCCGGATCATGTGCCATATGAGGCAAATTGATAACTCGTTAGGAATGGACTTATTTTATTAGAAAAGTGTTTTGATAAAACTATATACATAGAGACTTACACTGAGGTATACAGAGGTTCACACTGAGGTATACAGAGGTTTACACTGAGGTATACAGAGGTTCACACTGAGGTATACAGAGGTTTACACTGAGGTATACAGAGGTTCACACTGAGGTATACAGAGGTTCACACTGAGGTATACAGAGGTTTACACTGATGTATACAGAGGTTTACACTGAGGTATACAGAGGTTTACACTGATGTATACAGAGGTTTACACTGATGTATACAGAGGTTTACACTGAGGTATACAGAGGTTTACACTGAGGTATACAGAGGTTCACACTGAGGTATACAGAGGTTTACACTGATGTATACAGAGGTTTACACTGAAGTATACAGAGGTTTACACTGAGGTATACAGAGGTTTACACTGAGGTATACAGAGGTTTACACTGAGGTATACAGAGGTTTACACTGAGGTATACAGAGGTTTACACTGAGGTATACAGAGGTTCACACTGAGGTATACAGAGGTTTACACTGATGTATACAGAGGTTTACACTGAGGTATACAGAGGTTTACACTGAGGTATACAGAGGTTTACACTGAGGTATACAGAGGTTTACACTGAGGTATACAGAGGTTTACACTGATGTATACAGAGGTTCACACTGAGGTATACAGAGGTTTACACTGATGTATACAGAGGTTTACACTGAGGTATACAGAGGTTTACACTGAGGTATACAGAGGTTTACACTGATGTATACAGAGGTTTACACTGAGGTATACAGAGGTTTACACTGATGTATACAGAGGTTTACACTGAGGTATACAGAGGTTTACACTGAGGTATACAGAGGTTTACACTGATGTATACAGAGGTTTACACTGAGGTATACAGAGGTTTACACTGAGGTATACAGAGGCTTACACTGACGTATACAGAGGTTTACACTGAGGTATACAGAGGTTTACACTGAGGTAGAGAGCGAGGCAAGCAGGCAGGCAGAAGATCAATACTGTGGCGATGAGTCAAGCTTGGAGTGCCGCAGGCAGCCAGGAGGCCCGCCGCTCCCCGCACTCCTTCATCGCCTCTACAACACTGCTGCCCGGAGCCCCACAACTGCTGCCCGGAGCCTCACAACTGCTGCCCGGAGCCCCACAACTGCTGCCCGGAGCCTCACAACTGCTGCCCGGAGCCCCACAACTGCTGCCCGGAGCCCCACAACTGCTGCCCGGAGCCTCACAACTGCTGCCCGGAGCCTCACAACTGCTGCCCGGAGCCCCACAACTGCTGCCCGGAGCCTCACAACTGCTGCCCGGAGCCTCACAACTGCTGCCCGGAGCCTCACAACTGCTGCCCGGAGCCTCACAACTGCTGCCCGGAGCCTCACAACTGCTGCCCGGAGCCTCACACCTGCTGCCCGGAGCCCCACAACTGCTGCCCGGAGCCTCACAACTGCTGCCCAGAGCCCCACAACTGCTGCCCGGAGCCCCACAACTGCTGCCCGGAGCCTCACAACTGCTGCCCGGAGCCCCACAACTGCTGCCCGGAGCCTCACAACTGCTGCCCGGAGCCTCACAACTGCTGCCCGGAGCCCCACAACTGCTGCCCGGAGCCTCACAACTGCTGCCCGGAGCCCCACAACTGCTGCCCGGAGCCTCACAACTGCTGCCCGGAGCCTCACAACTGCTGCCCAGAGCCCCACAACTGCTGCCCGGAGCCTCACAACTGCTGCCCGGAGCCTCACAACTGCTGCCCAGAGCCCCACAACTGCTGCCCGGAGCCTCACAACTGCTGCCCGGAGCCTCACAACTGCTGCCCGGAGCCTCACAACTGCTGCCCGGAGCCCCACAACTGCTGCCCGGAGCCTCACAACTGCTGCCCGGAGCCTCACAACTGCTGCCCGGAGCCCCACAACTGCTGCCCGGAGCCCCACAACTGCTGCCCGGAGCCCCACAACTGCTGCCCGGAGCCCCACAACTGCTGCCCGGAGCCCCACAACTGCTGCCCGGAGCCTCACAACTGCTGCCCGGAGCCTCACAACTGCTGCCCGGAGCCTCACAACTGCTGCCCGGAGCCCCACAACTGCTGCCCGGAGCCTCACAACTGCTGCCCGGAGCCTCACAACTGCTGCCCGGAGCCCCACAACTGCTGCCCGGAGCCCCACAACTGCTGCCCAGAGCCTCACAACTGCTGCCCGGAGCCTCACAACTGCTGCCCGGAGCCTCACAACTGCTGCCCGGAGCCCCACAACTGCTGCCCGGAGCCTCACAACTGCTGCCCGGAGCCTCACAACTGCTGCCCGGAGCCTCACAACTGCTGCCCGGAGCCTCACAACTGCTGCCCGGAGCCTCACAACTGCTGCCCGGAGCCCCACAACTGCTGCCCGGAGCCTCACAACTGCTGCCCGGAGCCTCACAACTGCTGCCCAGAGCCCCACAACTGCTGCCCGGAGCCTCACAACTGCTGCCCGGAGCCTCACAACTGCTGCCCGGAGCCTCACAACTGCTGCCCGGAGCCTCACAACTGCTGCCCGGAGCCTCACACCTGCTGCCCGGAGCCCCACAACTGCTGCCCGGAGCCTCACAACTGCTGCCCAGAGCCCCACAACTGCTGCCCGGAGCCCCACAACTGCTGCCCGGAGCCTCACAACTGCTGCCCGGAGCCCCACAACTGCTGCCCGGAGCCTCACAACTGCTGCCCGGAGCCTCACAACTGCTGCCCGGAGCCCCACAACTGCTGCCCGGAGCCTCACAACTGCTGCCCGGAGCCCCACAACTGCTGCCCGGAGCCTCACAACTGCTGCCCGGAGCCTCACAACTGCTGCCCCGAGCCCCACAACTGCTGCCCGGAGCCTCACAACTGCTGCCCGGAGCCTCACAACTGCTGCCCAGAGCCCCACAACTGCTGCCCGGAGCCTCACAACTGCTGCCCGGAGCCTCACAACTGCTGCCCAGAGCCCCACAACTGCTGCCCGGAGCCTCACAACTGCTGCCCGGAGCCTCACAACTGCTGCCCGGAGCCTCACAACTGCTGCCCAGAGCCCCACAACTGCTGCCCGGAGCCTCACAACTGCTGCCCGGAGCCTCACAACTGCTGCCCGGAGCCTCACACCTGCTGCCCGGAGCAGCAGGTGTGAGGTGTATATTATATATTATATAAGAAGACTAACTTGACTTGAAAACTGACTTGAAGACTAACGTCATCCTGTTATTCTCTGGACGTCAACCATATAACGAGACGATCGATTGGTACTCTGCTAACTATTTAATTCTGTGAAGTTGAAGAACAAGAGGTTGGGAACAAATCCACATGGGAGGGCCGTGACGAGGATTCGAACCTTCGTCCGAGAGCATCCCAGACGCTGCCTTTATCGACTGAGCTACGACAGGGTTGTAGCCATGATAACCATGTCGTAGCTCAGTCGATAAAGGCAGCGTCTGGGATGCTCTCGGACGTAGGTTCGAATCCTCGCCACGGCCCTTGTGGATTTGTTCATTTGATGCATCACGCTATTGCGATTTCTGTGTGTTGGAGATTGGGAGTTGATCCGAAACTTGGTATCTGGTTATCATGGCTCAGCCCCCTCGGTGTCACCTGAGAGCGGTTGGGCTGCTCGATAACTCCTGCACCCTGGGTCCACCTTCCCCTAAAGTTTGTGAAACTCTGCCCGTCCTCAGGGTAAAGTTATTATGTCGAGTCACCAGCCCTAGGCTCATACCCTTCTGATGTGATGACATATTTATGAAGCTATGGAAGCATATTACGGTTCAAATAATAGTCTGCTTGTAAACTGAACCTTTGTCCTAAACAGATATTACCAAGTTATAACTTTATTGTATTATAAATTGTTGGTTTAAAATATAATGTCTATACTTAATTCGTTTTCTTTTACAACGATTTGAGGAATTTGTTTTTCCTGTAAATGAAATTCTAAGGGATACTCAAATAGTTTTCAAATTTCATATTTCACATTTTTTAGAATAGCACACTTGTTATGACATAACGTAACCTAACCAAATGTAACTAATCTGACCTTAATGCAACCTAACCCATGGTTAGGGAGCAGATAATAGCACTAATTACAGTGGTTTTGAAGAGATTACCTGGGGGGGGGGGGAGATCAAACCCCGAGGACAGGTTGTTCAGTAGAGGTGACTCCAGTGTATCCCCCCTCTCTCTGCATACAGGTTATCTTGAGGTTATCTTGAGATGATTTCGGGGCTTAGCTTCCCCGCGGCCCGGTCCTTGACCAGGCCTTCTTTTTGTTACACATCCCCAGGAAGTAGCCCGTAGCAGCTGTCTAACTCCCAGGTACCTATTTACTGCTAGGCGAACAGGCGTATCAGGGTGAAAGAAACTGCCCATTTGTTTCCGCCTCCACCGGGTATCGAACCCGGAACCTGAGAACTACGAATCGGAAACTATCAGACGCCACCAGCAGGGTTCTTCCTGAGGAAAGATTCCAACAGCAGCAGCACCCACTCACACTCACACTCACACTCACACTCTTGGTCACGTCACCGTAGTGATGATGTGAGGCCTCACAACGGTAGGCCTCACATCATGTAATGTCATAACAACCCACAACCACCACATCTCAGGGTAATTACTACTCTTCACATTTGTATCGTTATGTAAAATGGCCACATAACACCAGCGTGTGTCGCTGTGTACCTTGCTGTGTACCTTGCTGTGTATCTTGCTGTGTACCTTGTTGTGTATCTTGCTGTGTACCTTGGTGTGTACCTTGCTGTGTACCTTGCTGTGTACCTTGCTGTGTACCTTGCTGTGTGCGTGACGTCACCTTGACAGTACAGCATGAATTGTAATAAGCACACGAGCTGATGACCAAACTACCCCGCTTCCCCCCCCCTTCCCCAATACCCATCACACTGACCCTCTCTTCCCATCCCTCCCCCCCCCCCCCCATTCCTCCCCATCCCCCCCCCGCTCCACAAACACCGACACAAAGCCGCAGGCGGCGCCAAACGATCCCGCAGCAACCCTTTAAAGCGCCTCAATTTAGATGCTATCGACAGCAGCGTCCAAACTGCGGTGCTTTACTGGAATTTAAGCGACTGTACTCGCTCGTATTCTCGACCAATTGAACAGTCCTCGACCAGTTAGACCAGATCGTCAAGGCGACGGACTCAAGACAATCACACCAAAATTTAAAATTTAAATTTTAAATCAGACCAAAACACACCCAAGCTACAAGCTTCCCAGATCATCTGAGGTAACCGAGATCATAACACTGGACACATTTAGGGTCTTGAGGGTTAGTATATTAAGGCAATCCTTTCATCAAGGCTACACCCCCCCCCAGTCTACAGTGCCGAGGACTTAACACCACAACCTGGCCAGTCCTCACCTAGGAGCAGGAGTATTTGCCCACTGTTGAGTGAATACACGTGTGACCTGGTGATCAATGTTGAAGTATATCAGAAGTAGGGGAATAGCGAGGCAGCATAGACAATCGTTGGATATATCTCCCACAGTCGCTGCCATCTTACAGTCACTGTCATCTTACAGTCACTGTCATCTTACAGTCACTGTCATCTTACAGTCACTGTCATCTTACAGTCACTGTCATCTTACAGTCACTGTCATCTTACAGTCACTGCCATCTTACAGTCACTGTCATCTTACAGTCGCTGCCATCTTACAGTCACTGTCATCTTACAGTCACTGTCATCTTACAGTCACTGTCATCTTACAGTCACTGTCATCTTACAGTCACTGTCATCTTACAGTCACTGTCATCTTACAGTCACTGCCATCTTACAGTCACTGTCATCTTACAGTCACTGCCATCTTACAGTCACTGTCATCTTGCAGTCACTGTCATCTTACAGTCACTGCCATCTTACAGTCACTGTCATCTTACAGTCACTGCCATCTTACAGTCACTGTCATCTTGCAGTCACTGTCATCTTACAGTCACTGTCATCTTGCAGTCACTGTCATCTTACAGTCACTGTCATCTTACAGTCACTGCCATCTTACAGTCACTGTCATCTTACAGTCACTGTCATCTTACAGTCGCTGCCATCTTACAGTCACTGCCAGAGAGAGAGAGAGAGAGGGGGTGGAGATAGACAAAGCCCCCAAACAATCAGTAAGGGGCTCCACAACCATGAGCCGCAAGACGCCGACAAACAGCGCCTGAGAGTGGCGCGACAAAATAACCGACTGTAAACACGGGTGAATGTTATTGACTGGCCAGGTAAGTGAGTGACTGCCCCGATACACTACACCAACTGTACCTATCCACACCAGACGACTTGGTGGGTATATAATGTCAATCTGCGGGGATTTTAGACCTTGAGCGCCAACTTCTGCCACCTCAACTGCTACACAAACCTGCTCCATACAGCTTCTGACAACCGGCTGAAAAAATGAGGCTACGTAAACCTTAAACCAGATGACTCGCTAAACCTGCCTTTGTGGCGCCAAGTTTAAACTAATCAGAGAACACAATCTACATTCCCAAATCCTATTGGAATGTTAGATAGGGCCAACTATTGTGTGTGTGTGTGTGTGTGTGTGTGTGTGTGTGTGTGTGTGTGTGTGTGTGTGTGTGTGTGTGTGTGTGTGTGTGTACTTACTATTTTGTGCCTGCACAATCGAGCTATCAGCCCTTGGACCCCGCCTTTCTAACCAATCTACTTTTCCCTCTATAATGTCTACTACATATACTCTCATTCAAAATTCCCCAGATAGTTGCAATGGATATGTGTATAAAATTCCATGTAAAGATTCTAGTAAGTTCTGTGTTGGCTTAACAGGTAAACATGCAGATTTTTTCTGAAATTTTACATATTTCCCTTTTTTATTATGGAATGATAAAGCTTTCCATTATATTATATATATGATTGTTTTTAATTTGAGTTAAAACATGGAAATTTTATCAATCTAACCTAACCTAACCTATGTAGCATAACCTAACCTAACTTACCTAGCCTAACCTAACCTATGTAGCCTAACCTAACCTATGTAGCATAACCTAACCTAACTTACCTAGCCTAACCTAACCTAACCTAACCTAACCTAACCTATGTAGCATAACCTAACCTAACTTACCTAGCCTAACCTAACCTATGTAGCCTAACCTAACCTATGTAGCATAACCTAACCTAACTTACCTAGCCTAACCTAACCTAACCTACCTTGCCTAACCTAACCTAACCTACCTAGCCTAACCTACCAAGCCTAACCTAACCGAACCTAACTCTACTTCATGGTCTTAATAAAATAATATTAACTAGAATATTCCAATTTAGAAAGTAATACATAAAAATAATGAAAATCACTGCCTGTTAGGCAAATCGGCCCATGCATAATAGGCCAAGTAGTGCGGTTCTGGCTATTAGGTACGGCATACATACATACTAATATATATATATATATATATATATATATATATATATATATATATATATATATATATATGTCGTACCTAGTAGCCAGAACGCACTTCTCAGCCTACTATGCAAGGCCCGATTTGCCTAATAAGCCAAGTTTTTCTGAATTAATATATTTTCTCTAATTTTTTTCTTATGAAATGATAAAGCTACCCATTTCATTATGCACGAGGTCAATTTTTTTTATTGGAGTTAAAATTAACGTAGATATATGACCGAACCTAACCAACCCTACCTAACCTAACCTAACCTAACCTATCTTTATAGATTAGGTTAGGTTAGGTAGCCAAAAAAGTTAGGTTAGGTTAGGTAGTTTAGGTAGTCGAAAAAATATGAATTCATTAAAACTTGGCTTATTAGGCAAATCGGGCCTTGCATAGTAAGCTGAGAAGTGCGTTCTGGCTACTAGGTACGAGATATATATATATATATATATATATATATATATATATATATATATATATATATATATATATATATATATATATATATAATAACGTTGTGATTAATTATAATTTAATAGTGCAAATTAGGGATGTTAACTGGGAGTTACAGTAATGAGGCCCCAAATGACAATCAATACTGATGAGAATCAATAATGCTTAACCTAAAAGTTTATATCTTATTTAACACTTATTGGGTGACCTTTCACTTTTATTTTATTTATTTATACAAGAGTTGTTACATTCTTGTACAGTCACCAGCACACACA